TGTTTTTTTCCTTTTTGTGGAGAATGGGGTCTTGCTATATTGCCCAGGCAGGTCTCGAACTCCTGGGCTCAAGCTATACTCCCGCCTCTGCCTCCCTAGGAGCTGGGATTACAGGCGTGAGCCACAGCACCTGGCTCTAATTTTTAAAAGTGTTTTACAATTCTGCTTTTCACACAGGTCTTAATTACATCAGATTGTATTTGAATATATTAGGCTCCAATGTCATGTTTTTGAAATGTTTGTCCCAGCACACTATTTATTGAAAAGTTCATTCTTTCTCCACTGGATCTGTAATACCACTGTTACTATACCAATTCCAGATATATGTAGGTTCATTTGAAGATTCTGTTTCACTGGTCTATTTATTATCAACAGTACAACACTGTTTACATCAATACAGCTTTATAATTATGCATATCCTGTATCTTGAGTCTTCACATCTTTTTCAAGGCATTTTTGTCATTTAGTCCATTACTCTTTCATATTAGTTTTAAAATCAACTTGTCAATGTCCATGCAAAATAAAAAAATAAACATCTTGGCCAAGTGCAGTGGCTCACACCTATAATCCCAGCACTTTGGGAGGCCAAGGCAGGCAGATTAAAAGGTCAAGAGAGTGAGACCATCCTGGCCAACATGGTAAAACCCTGCCTCTAAAAAAATAAAAATAAAAATAAATAAAACAAACAACTTGGATTTTTGACTAGAGCCATACTGAATTCTCACCTTAATTTGAGAACTAACATTTATATGATACTGAGTCTTCCTAGCTAAGGATGTAGTGTTTCTCCTTTTACTCTGATTCACTTTTATTTCCTTTAGAAATGACTTGTAATTTCCTTGTATAGGCCTCATACACTTTTGGTGGGTTTATTCCTATTATTCAGCACAGTTTTTATGCTATAGTATTTTAAAAACAAATTTTCTAATTTATGCTGATAGTTGATTTTATTACACTGAACCTTGCTAATTTCCTAATAGTTCTTACAGTCTATAGACTTTCCTAGATTTTCTGCATAATTACATCATCTTTAAATAACTGTGTTTTTCATTCTAATTCTTACAACTTATTTTTCACTTTACTGTAGAAGCTGTTAACATGTTGAGTGAAAGCAGTGACTAGGTGTCATTGTTTTGTTCTGATTTTAAAGCAAATGTTTCTAACTTCACCATTCAGTACAGCAAATGCCCAAATACTTGGGCAAGGAAATTGTCTTTCCATTCCCTGCTATTTTTATAACTACTTAGTGATGAATTTTATCAAAGCATTTTTTTCAGCATCTATTCATTGCTTCTTTTGGGAGAAACAGTCTGCCATGGGTTCTGAATGTCCCTGCATATAACAGCTATATATGCCAATTTCTAAGACCTAACTATCCACTGACAGTGAACAGTTTCTGTAGCTGGTTACAGAGAAGATTAAATAGGTTAAGGCGATCACAGTGTGACTACTACGGCAGGTCACTCCCAGGGAAAGGAGGACTAACTCACATTCTGCTTTCTATAAAAGGTACCAAGCTCTTGACCCTGGGTGCCTCAGCCACAGTGCATCCCACTGTGAGCACAGCTTCCATCTCTATCTACCACATGGCCCGGTGAGATTTGGGAACAGGGAACCTGTACTACAATGCTGATCCTCCTGCTGATTGCTGTTCTGTGAATAAAAATCTGTCAGCTGGGTGTGGTGGCTCATGCCTGCAATCTCAGGGAGATTTGGGAGGCCAAGGCAGGTGGATCACCTGAGGTCACGAGTTTGAGACCAGCCTGACCAAAATGGTGAAACCACTGCCTCTACTAAAAAATACAAAAAAATTAGCCTGGCATGGTGGCAGGTGCCTGTAATCCCAGCTACTCAGGAGGCTGAGGCAGGAGAATCCCTTGAACCTGGGAGGCAGATGTTGCAGTGAGCCAAGGTCACACCACTGCACTCCAGCCTGGGCAGTAAGAGCAAAACTCTGCCTCAAAAAAAAAGAAAAAAAATTGGTCCTGCTCTGATCCACTGAATCTTGTCTACTTTTGGCATCTATGGAATTGTGACAGTTGATGCTTTGTCACTCTCCATGAGACTGGGGTTTTTTTCTCTGACGGTTCATAAGAAATCTTAACAAGGCTCCTTTTACAACTTCCAATACCACCACTGTGATATCATTTAAAAAACAAACAAAAACTATCAATAGATTTAAATGTGTCAATTGTTTCCCCTCCACGACTACTCAATTAGATGCCCTCTATAAGTAATCAAAGCCAACAATGATTGAGCCCCTTGCAAACTGTGTTTCCTAAAAGAACATTATTAAACAAACTGAGAGAATGCTTTATAATAGGAGACTTTGTAAGAACCCAAATATTTCCAGGATACTTCTGAAAAAATGCCTTACTTCTAATTAAGCAAACCTATCAAATGAAATTCTAATTAAGCAAATCTCAAAATCCATACCACACATTAATAATTAACTTGCAAGACTATATCAATAGGGTTTTTTTTTTGTTTGGTTTGGTTTGGTTTGAGACAGAGTCTCGCTCCATTGCCAAGGCTGGAGTACACTTGTGCTATCTTGGCTCACTGCAACCTCCAACTCCTGGGTTCAAGCAATTCTCTTGCCTCAGCCTCCCGAGTGGTTGGGATTACAGGTGTTTGCCCAGCTAAGTTTTTTGTATTTTTAGTAGAGGCATGGTTTCAAAATGTTGACCTGGCTGGTCTCAAAACTCCTGACCTCAAATGATTTGCCCACCTCGGCCTCACAAAGTGAGATTACAGGCATGAGCCACCACACCCAGCCCAAATATTTCAAATATATTTTTGACGAGTTACAAAATGCCAAGAGCTATGGAGCACCAGTTATCAGTGCTATTATGCTGCATTTCAAAATTTGAAATCCCAGAAAAATTTCATCTATGTGTAAGTCTAGATTTCAACGGCAGATATGTTGGTGAGTCAAATATCAAAGTACTTATGCTATTATTTTTATCCTTTTACCTGTATTCAGGTTGCCTGCTTGCAGAATGATCATCTCTTGTCCATCTATAACCAGATTCATCCTGAAACATAAAAAAGCTACTTAGCTATTTGTTTACATTATTTCGGACAAGTGGGATATATCTTACAATACTACAAAAACGACTCTAAGTTTCCCTAGACTTCAACGCCATAAAAAGAAATAAAGATTAAGCAAGTCATCTATTTCAACAACTGAAACATTTGACCGGTTGAGAACCTGTGGTACCATCTATCTCTATTAAAAGGCTTAAATTATTTATTTGGTACTCAAACAACCTAATTGCCAAAGATACATATATCAGTATCACAACAGCTAAGGGCTATTTGAGGACAAAGTCTAAAAATTTAATAAAGCACACGTTTCTCAACCTCGTATTTTCCCTTCTGTCTAGTTCCCTTACGAATTTTCAGATTCAAGCCCAATGAAAAGCTTGCTACTTTCCCATTTTTCCTATTCAAGTTTTATTTTCTCACCTTATCTCCAATTAAAAACCAAACTGGAAACAATATAAGAAACTGTCAAGTACAGATAATCTATATTAGAATAAGATTTAAATTTATTTAAACTTAAATAAATTTAAAATTAATCAAATAAAGCACATTTTATTCTCTCAGACAGACATATTGCAAAGGTGCATAAGAAAGAACCATGTAGCAATCCACACCCAATTACTTAAAAATTATACATAGAATCGGCTGGGCGTGGTGCCACACACCTATAATCCCAGTGCTTTGGGATGTTGAGGCAGGTGTATCACTTGTGGTCAGGAGTTCGAGACCAGCCTGGCCACCATGGTTAAACCCTCGTCTCTACAAAAATACAAAAATTAGCCGGGCACAGTGATGTGCACCTATAGTCCCAGCTACTCGGGAGGCTGAGGCAGGAAAATTTCTTCAACCCAAGAGGCAGAGGTTGCCCAGCCAAGATCATGCCACTGCACTCCAGTCTGGGTAACAGAATGAGACTCTGTCTCAAAAAATGAATAAAAGTATACATAGAAAAATACAATATGCGAATTATGTATCAGGAAAACTGATTAAAATAAGTATCCTCTTCCTCCTCTTTAGCATCACATACCCTATTTTTATATAAATAAAATAATCATCATTTTCTGTCTTAACATTAAATATAAACAAAATTTAAAACTTAGCATAACAAAATATTAAATCAAGTAATTTGTTTGCATTACATAAATGAACTCTACATAAGAATTAGTATCATAAGAGTCTTAAGGATCACAAGCATGCTTGTTGTTTGAAAGGAATTTAAAGAAAAAATGTTATATACACAAAAATATAAAGACGGACACAATTGGTAACAATATTAGAAAAAAACTGTCACTAAAGTTCTACTGTGCTACAAGTTTTTAGGAAAAAAAATCATTTTCATGAGGTTTCAAACACAAACTAGGGTTTTCACAAAAATGGTAACAAATGAGAGGGTACACTAAAATCTCAAACTTCACTACTATACAACTCAGCCATGTAACCAAAAGCTACTTGAACCCCAAAAGCTACTGAAATAAACAAAAATTTTAATAATAAATATGAGGACAACAAAAAAGCAGCATGACATTTAAAAACTGAATAAAGTAAAAATCAATGCTGTGAAGAGTAAGAAAGCTACAAAACCCCAAACTTTAGAAATGAACACGAGAAAACATTAGTCTCATTACCACTTTGGAATTGTTAGGGGTCACTATGATGCAGTAGTAAAAGAAACCAAACTCCCATACATACCTATCCTGAATAAATCACCTTAACTCCATTTCTTCAAGCATAAAGTATGGAAACTAATTCCAATAGCCAACATGAGGTCAAAATTTTTATACACAGGGTTTAAATACGTACTGTTAATTGCCATGTTATACAGTAGAAAAGGGGGAAAAAGAGAAAAGGTAGGAAAACAACCTAGCTGAGGAAAGTTGAAAACATGCAAGGTAGGACAGAGAAATCCGTCAAAGAACAGTATTAAGTTCAATTACAAATCACTGCAACATTAAATACATACTTCTAGACTATTAAGAATGCTGAAGAGAAACAAGTTTTAATAGTAATAATGGTAGCTAACTTTTTTTTTTTTAAGACGGAGTCTCGCTCTGTCACCCGGTCTAGAGTGCAGTGGCGAGATCCCAGCTCACTACAACCTCCATCTCCCAGGTTAAAGCAATTCTCCTGCCTCAGCCTCCCAAGCAGCTGGGATTAGAGGCACCCACCACCACACGCAACTGATTTTTGTATTTTTAGTAGAGACAGGGTTTTACTATGTTGGCCAGCCTGGTCTCGAACTCCTGACTTCAGGTGATCCACCTACCTCGGCCTCCCAAAGCGCTGGGATTACAGGTGTGAGCCACTGTGCCCAGCCAGCTAATATTTTTAAATTGCTTCCTATGGCAAAGTTTTGAGTGTTTTCTAATTTTAGTTAATACATAGACTTTCGGCTGGGAGTGGTGGCTCATGCCTGTATCCCAGAACTTTGGGAGGCTGAGGCAGGCAGATCACTGGAGGTCAGGAGTTCGAGACCAGTCTGGTCAACATGGTGAAACCCCATCTCTACTGAAAATACAAAAATTAGCCAGGCATGGTGGCATGCACTTGTAATCCCAGATACTTGGGAGGGTGATGCAGGAGAATCGCTTGAACCCGAGAGGCAGAGTTTGCAGTAAGCCAAGATTGCACCACTGTACTCCAGCCTGGGTGACAGAGCACGACTNAAAAAAAAAAAAAAGTGGGTCATCTAGTAAGAAATGGTAACCACCTGTTCATCACTTAGTAAGTACCAAGACAACAGATTACCTTTACATGGTTCTACAAATCCCTGCCAATTTAGGGGATTAAAGAAAAGCAGGCTGGTTGGAATTAATTTCATTTAGATAGTGCCGCCCAGAGTGCTTACCTACTTTGTCCAGCACCTCAAGATTCTTGACTACTAGTTGCCATCTGACAGCTCCAGCTGGCAATTCACATGAGAGCATCAAGCAGAAAGTGTTTATTCAACTGCTTTCATGGCCGTCACATAAATTTTTTAAATTACATTAATTTTAAACTTATAAGAAATAACAATTAGTACATGGGGGAAATTTACATACTCCTCTGTGAGGTGGACCACTTCTTCGATCATGAGAAAAACTGCGGCCCTCGTCATAGTCTCGGTAATCAACATGACTGTAATATCTATTGTAGTTTCCTTCACCAGGTCTGTCTAGCAGTGGTGGTTTCTTTGGCACAATATTAACTAGTCTATTGTAGCCATCCTAAAACAGACAAAAAGAAATATATAAAAATCACTAATTTCTCTATTTGGCTTTGGAAAGGTTATAAAAAAAGCACAGGAGTTCTTACCCTTAAATAAGCTAAATGTAGAAACAAAAGCATTAATGAAATAACATAAACATAACTAATACTAAGGTCTTCACATGGATTAAAGGAAATCAAGTTGTTCAATGAAGAAAGCCAGGTGTTCAAAATAACATGCAGCAATGCGAAAACCAATCATAAGTAAAAGAAAAAATACAATATTATCATTTTAATAAAAAATAAACAAGACAGTTAGAATGTTACAGTAGTGCTATCCCTAATTGCCTAAGAATTTTAGAAATAAAATCATGTAAGATAGCATACATATTTGGTCTACTGTGTTTGAACTACACTATTTAGAAAAAATATAAGCTATTTACACACGAGCCACAGCTAACAGGGAGATGACACTGAGGCAGAATGATCAAAAGGAAACATTTTGCTGTTTTTCCAGCAGTAACAGAGAGAGGAGAGCCTTTGACTTTACAGATCTAGAAGCAAAATAAAAGCTAACATAAAATTTGAACTGATTTTCAACGTACTGCAATACATTGTTCATGTTTTAAGAAATGAGTAGGTTTTTCTGTGAGACTTGGAGAACTGGATACAGAGAACATGTCTTAGGTTAGTTAGTAGCTGCTATGAAGTAACAACAGAAAGTAGAAGACCGCTACAGACCATACATCTGTAAGCCTGGTCTTGGGCATTCATGGTACGTATCAAATGAGATATATGCTTAAAAAAAAAAAAAAAACTGTAAAGCCTGATTTAACACAAGATCAATATGAGTTAACTAATCTGGAAAAAATAAAAAACTTACAAAATATAAAGTTCAACATTCAGAACTGTTTATCTATCAACCCAAGCCTGTAAAATGAAATTAATTCTAACACCTAACTCATGGCGTTTTGAGGACTAAATGAGAAATGGAATACAAAGTGTTGAGTACTGTGTTCAGGCATACACTAAGTGCTCAAAAAATGTTTGCTATATTGATTACTACTGTGCAAGTCTATGAAAAAAATATGTACCTCAAACTGTTTCCTTAAATTACTTCTTAGCCCTAATGACCATAACTATTCAATTGTTATTAAATGACTATATACTCTTCAAATCTCTCAATAGGTAGGCAATTTGTCAGTGGGTCAGAAAAAAGTAAAATCAGTGGTTTATATTTATTTCAGAGCTTAAAAGATCTAACTAATTCTTCCCATGGGGATCTAAGGTGGTTTCCTGCTTTAGTATGTTAGACATTCATTATAAGATATATTCTACCTTTACAGAAAATATAATACACAAGTGAATATACTGACTCATTCTTCTACACACCTTTCAGAGATTTCAATTAAATTTAATACTGAGCTGCTTAAAAAAAAACTGGCATTAAACCAAAATTAGTAAAATTATAATTTACAGCATTTCTAATTCAAAATTTGTCACTCACAGAATCAGAATAACAGACTTCTCCAAATTCCAATAAACCATAAAAATCCATTACACAGGCAGGGCTTGGTGGCTCACACCTGTAATCCCAGCTCTTTGGGACAGGCTGATCAACATGGAGAAACCCCGTCTCTACTAAAAATACAAAAGTAGCCGGGCATGGTGGTGCTTGCCTGTAATCCCAGCTATGCCAGAGGCTGAAGCAGGAGAATCACTTGAGCCCAGGAAGCAGAGGTTTCGGTGAGCCAAGACCATGCCATTGTACTCCAGCCTGGGCAACAAGAGCGAAACTCCGTTTGAAAAAATAAAATAAAATAAAATCCATTACACAATATCCTTTTTGTTTCTATATGTTTATTTGGAGGGATGGTGGGGTAAGTATGCATGCCTAAATACTTCTGTGAATAGAGAGTTTATTATTTTATAAAACATTTTGTTCCTTTGTTCAACTGCCCCAGTTATTAGAAAGTTACTTGGGGATTATAAAATGTATTTGGTAAAACTTTGGGAGACTTAACATTCAAATCACATTTAGTTACTTATTTTAAAAATTGCTTTACCAACTGAAGTAAATGAAAACAATCATTCTAAAAGTTGTTTAAGTTCAGGCCAGTAATCCTAACACTTTGGGAGGCCAAGGCAGATGGATCACTTGAGGTCAGGAGGCTGAGATCAGCCTTGCCAACACAGTGAAGCCCTATTTCTACTTAAAAAAAAAAAAAATAGCTGTGTGCTGGCACATGCCTACAGCCTGTAGTCCCAGCTACCAGGAGGCTGAGGCAGGAGAGTTGCTTGAGCCCAAAGGCAGAGGTTGCAGTGAGTTGAGATCGAGTCACTGCATTCTAGCTGGGGTGATAAAGTGAGACTCCATCTCAAAAAACTAAAAAAATATATAAAAGTTGTCTAATCAGCAAAAGAAAAAAAAAAACAGTGACAGCTCTCACACCTGGCTATAAGGATCAAATTGTTGTTTTGAAAAAGTGTTCAAATATTACATTATACTATCTCTGCTACGTAGACACCTAATTTTAAAGAAAATTCCCTAGCTGTATGAAAAGATCTAAGGAAACAAAGAGGACTGCCAGAGCCTGTAACAAAGCGGGACTGTATTTTTAAAGAGTTCCTGTCTTATCCACGTATACCATTCAAGGATTTTTGTTCTTAATAAAATCCATGATGAGTGGCAAAGAATTCAAAATTTTCCTTTCAAAAAGTGGTTTTTTTTTTGTTTTTGTTTTTGTTTTTGAGATAGAGTCTCACTCTAGCCCAGGCTGGAGTGCAGTGGTGCAATCCCGACTCACTGCAACCTACAGCTCCTAGGTTCAAGTGATTCTCCTGCCTCAGCCTCTGGAGTAGCTGGGATTACAGGTGCATGCCACCATACATGGCTAATTTTTGTATTTTTAGTAGAGACGGGGTTTCATCATATTGGTCAGGCTCATCTCGAACTCCTGACCTCAAGTGATCCACCCACCTAGGCCTCCCGAAGTGCTGGGATTACAGGAGTGAGCCACCACGCTCAGCCATTTCAGAAAGATTACATTGTTGAAGTTCAAACAGTATTTTTATTACCTGCATTGCCAAACATGAATAGAAATAATGATACTGTTTGAAATTCCTATGCAAACCTTACATTAAGCTGTAAACACGCAATTTTCCTTTTTATATGCTAACATAGGTACACAGGCTTAAAGTACTACTGATGTTTGAAACCTCCATTTTAGAGAGACATTGGCAAAAACAATTTAAGAATGGACAAACACCATGAACAGGCATTTCTCCAAAGAAGACATAAAAATGGCCAGCTCCCCAGTTGTAGGCAGCTGCCTAGGTTGCCTTGTACCTAGGCAACTATTACACTGCTGGGAGAACAGTAGCTGATAGCTGATTGGCATTCTGGCCCTGGTTCATCCCAACTCTGTTGACTACAGCAGGATGCTACCATAGTTGAAAAGAACAGCTGCTCACACCTGTAGTTCTGGCTACTTGGGAGGCTAAGGTGGGAGGATCCCTTGAGCCTAAGAGTTCAAGGCTGCAGTGAACTGTGACTGGCAACTGCACTCCAGCCTAGGAAAACAGAGACCCCCATCTCCAGGTAATAATAATTTTTTTAAAAAAAAGGTCAACAGGTATATGAAAAGGTACTTGAATCAGTAACCATAGGGAAAATGCAAATTAAAACCACTATGAGATACCCCCTCACACCCTTAAGGATGGCTATAGTCAGAAAGACAAGAGATAGCAAATGTTGGTGAGGGTGTGAAGGAAAGAGAACCCAAGTACACTGTTGGTGGGAATATAGTTTAGTACAGCCATTAAAGAAAATGGTATGGAAATTCCTACCATTTTACTTTCCTACCAAGAAAGTAAAAATAGAACTACCACATGACCCAGTGATTCCTCTTCTGGGTATACCGTATACCTAAGGAGATGAAATCAACCACCTGTTCAAGAAATTCACATTTCCATGTTCATCGCAGCATTATTCACAGTTGCGAACTTTAAAAACAACTTAAATGCCCATGGACAAACAAATGGACCAAGAAAATCTGGCATATAAATATATCCGTGGATTATTCATCCTTATAAAGAAAGGGAGATATTGCCATTTACGACACATGGATGTACCTAAAGGACATTATGCTAAGTGAAATAAGCTAGATACACACAAAAAATTATTGCATGATCTCATTCATATGTGGAATTAAAAAAAAAAGAGTTCCAATACACAGAGATAAAGGATAAAACTGGTTACCATGGGTAGGGGAAGAAATGGGGAGATTAAGTCAAGGAATACAAAATAGTTAAGTAGGATGAACAAGTCTAGAGATCTAATGTACAATATGAGGACCAAAATTAGTAAAATTGTATTGCACTGGAAATTTTTGGGAAATATACAAATGTTACGTGATCTTTATCACACAATAAGGTAACTATGTGGGATGATGAATATGTTTCTCTCCTTCACTACAGTAACCACTATAATATGAATATGCATCCACGTGTATCTGCATTTATATGTATTCTATAACATCATGCTGTAAATCTCAAATATACACAATAAAATTTATGTCAAAAATAAGCAAATCAAAATAAAAAATGGAAGGAGAAAAACACCTTGGAAAACAATAGCACCATAACATACAAACCAGAAATAAAAATTATGATTTATAAAGAATGTCTTAGAAGGTTAACAGGGTCATTTTCAATTAATCAAAAAATAAATTCAATGGAGTTGAAACATTTCTATTATTTCAAATACAGATATTTCAAATCTTTTTTTTTTTTTTTGAGATGGAGTTTCACTCTTGTTACCCAGGCTGGAGTGCAATGGCGCGATCTTGGCTCACCGCAACCTCCGCTTCCTGGGTTCAGGCAATTGTCCTGCCTCACCCTCCTGAGTAGCTGGGATTACAGGCACGCACCACCATGCCCAGCTAATGTTTTGTATTTTTAGTAGAGACAGGGTTTCACCATGTTGACCAGATGGTCTCGATCTCTTGACCTCGTGATC